CAGAAGGGTCAGACAGAAGGGTCAGACAGAAGGGTCAGACAGAAGGGGATGACCCATAATGGAGAAGCAAAGAGGGATTATGAGAAAAGGCTGGTAGCCAACAATGAAGGGAATCCTTTAGCCTCCAAAGCCTTCTATAGACCCATCAATATTAAGGTGATTAAAGGAGCAGGGGAATTGTTTAGGGACTCAAGGGAGGATTTATATGTGCAGGCAAGAGGCATGGCTGAGATGTTAAATGAGTATTCGCATCTGTCTTTGCATTGCATCCATCTCCTTTGTAGACCACAGTGACAGAAGAGGAGATGCTGTCACTAGAATTTTTCAAAATTGATCGGTGGAAGTTTGGGATAGAGTATTGATACTTAAAGTTGATGAGACATGGGGACCAGATGAGATGTATCCAAGGATATTGAAGCAAGTGAGAGTGGAAATTGCAGGGAAGCTGATGATCTTTCAGTATTCCCCTGACTTGGGAGGTACCGGGATACTGGAGAATTGCAGGCATTATTGCCTTGTTCAGAAAGGGTTGCAAGGGTAAATCCAGCAATCTCCTACAACCGTAGAATTCCTTTAGTGCGGAAAAAGGCCATTCAGCTCATGGAGTCTGCACCAGCTCTTAAACCAGTCAGTTTAACTACAGTAGTGCAGAAGTTTCTAGAATGACTAATTGGGATAGAATTATTGGAAAAATGGTGGGTTGATTAGCCAGAGCAGTGTGGATTTCGAAAGGAGAGATTTTGTTTTACAAACTTGGTGGGGTTTTTTGAAGAGATAACCAAAAGGCTTGATCAGGGGAGCGCTTGTGTTATGGTAAACATACATTTGAAAAATATTCAATACAACGCTGCACAATAGATGTGAGAGAAGTTATTGATAATGGAATAAAAGGGACAGGAGCAATTTGGATACCAAGTTGTACTTCAACTCTACCTTCCCACAACAGTGATTAACAAATTCTGAGCCCATGCTTGTTGAAAGAGAAGAGAGTAAATTTGAAGTAGATAGTGGGTATGGCAGATGTCAAGTTGCTAATATGATAGACTAAAAACAGAAAGTTAAAAGGATTAGTGGAAAAAAAAAATCAGGAACAAATGGTCTGAAATGAGATTGGCAGTTAACATAAAATGACATGTAAATAGGAAAAAAGGGTGGTCGAAGGTCGTGTGGGGCTGATTAAGGGCCAAAAAAGGGAACTTGGATCTAGAAACAGAAAGCATGGCTGAGGTACTAAATCAATGCTTTGTATCTTAACATAGACGAACATGATGCCAAAGTCATATTGAATGAAGTGGTAGTTTGGCTGTACCAGTCTGAGAATGCCCGATTTCATCTGACCTTGGAAGCTAAACAGATTTGGGCCTGGTTAGTACTTAGATGAGAGACTGCCTGGGAATACCAGGTGTGATAAGCTTCCAAGTAACCATAATCAATTGCCATAAAAATCTCATCTGGTTCCCGAGTGTCCTTTTTTAAAAGTATCTCTACCTTTGAACCAGAAGGCCCAGGTCTCATCTGTTCCAGAGGTGTGTAATAACATCTCTGAACAGGTTGATTAGAAAATAAGTTTCAAACGTTTTTAAAAAATGAGACACTTGATGGCCTTAAATTAATCAAGAGCAGTGTTGAAATGAAGACATTTGGACTGAGATGCAACCAGGTCTTCCTCAGAAGGTGCCAGAGGACTGGAGAATTCCAAATGTTGCACCTTTTTCAAAAAAGAGGTTTAAAGGTGAAACTCGGCTGCTTATAGGTCAATCAGTTTAAGTTTCCAAAATTATAATTTGGAACTAATTTAACAGGCACTTGGACAAACGTTGATTGAATGGATTTTTGAGAAAGTGTTTTAAAACCTTGAGTAAGGTAGTTAGCAAGGGGAGGGATTGATGAAGGTAATGCTGTTTCTGTGGTTTACATTGACTTCAAAAGGCCCCATCTTTTTGAAACTGCCACAAAACAGAATTGTGGGTGAAGTTTAAACCTATGGAACAAAAAGGTCAGAAGTAGCATAGATATGAAATTGGTTAAAATATAGGATGGTAAAGTGTTCATTTTTTGTTTGGGACTGTGGAGAATGTAGGGACATCCATGTTGCAGTTAGGGAGGAAGTTCCAGGATTTTGACTCAGTGACTTTGAAGGAACAACACTATATTTCCAAGTCAAGATGGTGAGTAATTTGGAGGGGAATTTGGTGTTCCCATGTATCTGCTGCCTTGTTCTTTAAAATGGTTAGGATTGCAGGTTTGGAAAGTGCTGTCAGGAGCCTTCAGATACAGAGCATCTTGTAGATGGTACACACTGCTGCTGCTGAGATCAGTGGTGAAGGGAGT